TTTTAATTTCTAAAGAAAAACAGCTCGTACCGGTCCTTCAACTCCGCGACCCCCTAAAGTCGCGGCGCGTTAACGGCCGTGACTTTTTTCTATAGCTGGGCGAGGTACTGGTGTTTTAACCAACAGATACAACCAGATACCATGTGTAGGAATGCAAACCAGTGTGTCTATACAATCAGCATCATCCACAGACCCTCAAAGTTCAATATATTCCATATATTCCATAGATCGCCCGATGGGGTTGACACTTCTGTTCTTGGAACTTGTGGCACGCTCCCACTGTTGCTGCACGCTCTCTCACTGCCCGCCGCAACACCGTCCCAATCGTTCTTCCAGAACTTGCGCCTGTAGCTCTTGGTTCGCAGCTCCCATTAGCTCTTCGTTCGCAGCTCCCATCCGATATCTTGGCCTGAGGCCCGGGCCTGCTTTCACAGGCACGAGTAGTCAACATGTTCTCACACCTACCAATATTAGGATTGGAGAAAGAAATTTCCATTAATTTTGAGGGAAGGAAACTTAGTCAGATGAAAGGTGAGACGAAGGAGGGGATCGCCTGTGGCCTCTATCTTTGAGTGCAGAGGCACTCCCCCTCCAATCAAGGAGAGGTTAGGATACGAGCACCGAGGACATAGCTCAGCTATGTTCTCTACCAGTCGAGACACTTGTCTTTCCATAACGCGTGGCCAACGGACTCAACGAGTGTACTTCGCCGCCAAGCACCGGCCGGCCGAGCGGCGTTAGGTCTGAGCTACATTCGATTCCCGAATTAGCGCAGACTTAGAGCACACTCAGCGCTACCGGGCGCCTACCGGGTCCCCCCCTGGGTGATCTTTTTTGGGGTAAACAAGGGTCCGATCTATTTGTGGAGAGCACCACGTGCTGGGAATAGGGCCCAGCTTCCGGCCCCCGCTCCCCCCACCCTCTTGCCTCTCTGGACCTCGCCGCACCACTCACGGTAGGTGCAAAATGAGAGGATGAATCTTCCGCACAATATGGACATATACACCGCCGTTACTTTTGTCTTTTGTGCATTTGGTGAGCAGTGCGGCGAGGCCGCGGCCGCCTCTCTTCTGAATATCGGGCCTCCTTCCACTACTCTCCACATGCAGAAAAGACAAAAATGATGGCGAGTGTATCTTTCCATGTTCTAGCGGAAGATTCGCTCTCGTTTTACACATTTCGAGAGTAGTGGAGCCAGACCCATCAGTCAGCTCCAGTCTTTCTTTTTTTTCTTTTTTTCTTTTTTTTCTTTTTTTTTTTAGCTCCAGTCTTTCAGCACTCTTGAATCTTGCATGCGCACGCTATTCGAGAGAGAGAGAGAGGATTTTGGTTTGAATTTTAAAGAGACCGCCAGTACTGACAGCGGTAGAAGACACGCCATCATCAGCATTTTTTTTATTTCTTTTTTTTGGCGTCGTCATCATTTCGTCCGCCCATAGTGGAGGCGGCCTTTAACAAATTCGGAGGCAAATCGAGAGAGAGGGGATTCTCGTTTGAATTGAATTATCAGTTCAAAGCGACCGCCCAGTACTGACAGCGGTAGAAGACACGCCATCATCAGCTTTTTTTTTTTTTTTTTTTTTTTGCTTCGTTAGCATTTCGTCCGCCCATAGTGGAGGCGGCCTTTATCAAATTCGGAGGCAAATCTTGAGCTCGACGGAGCACCACTCTCTACTTACAATTGACGGACGACGGATTTTGCAGCCGGATCGGATATTGATGGGAACTATTCGACGGTGGATTGTGGATTGTGGATTCTGCTTTTGCTATTCCTACTGCCTTTTTTTTTTTTTTTTTTTTTTTTTTTTTTTTGTATTTCAACGGGATGTCTCTGATAGCTATACTGTAGCAAGAGAAATTGGACGACTATTGTTTTTTGAACTTTGAAGAGAAAGAATTTGACGACTAGTGTGTTTTGAAGAGAAGAATTGGACGACGATGGTTTTTTGAAGAGAAAAATTGGACGACTAGTGTGTTTTTGAAGAGAAAATTTGGACGACTATTGTTTTTTGAAGAGAAAATTTGGACGACTACCGGTAGTGTTTTTTGAAGAGAATTTTTTGACGGCGTTGTTAGTTAGACTTTGCTTGTAGAGTCAGAGTAGAGGGATGAAAAAACTATACAAAATTATATGTATAGTTTTCGTGGAAAATTGGAGCTGAAAAACTATACAAAATTGTTTAGTTCTTAGTTGAAAATTTTAGGGAAAAAAATCGTATCGTGGAGAGAGTAGAGGAGTGAGAGAGTAGTGGAGCGAGAGGGCCATTTGTAGAAAATTTGATAGTGAAGAGAGGAGGGGAGGGGAGGGGAGGGGAGAGGAGGGGAGCTCGGGACATCCGTCAGAATTGGAACGATATAGAGAAGGGTAATTAGCAAATGAATGGACCCTGCGCAAGGATGAGACGCATAAATCGAGAAATGGAGAGTAGGGGGGGGAGGGAGCCCAATAACTTCCATTAAAAATGGAGAGAGGAGGAGAGGGGGGGGGGAGGGTCACTCGAGAAATGGAGAGTAGGAGAGAGGGAGGGAGACCATAACAACGCGGCTTTGGTTCTGTGTGTTGGATCAGTCACATGGTTCTGAAGCTCGTTATTTTTTTATTGATTAATTTAAGGCATACTCACACTGGGACGTTTTTTCACCTATCACGGGACGTAATTATGGATAGATACATTCACATCCGGCCGTAAAAGCGATCAGATACATTTATAAAGGGTACTAGACTAGTGTGAGTACGCCCTTTGCTGTATTACCTGTAAAAGTACTAATTAGTAATTACTCATCTCATGTGGGGTTGTCTTTGTACTTCGACTTTGCTCGCTGTATTCCTCTCCCCCCCCC